TAACACACATAACAACTAATAAAAAATCAAATTTGAGAAATATGAAAACGTTACAAATGATATCCAGTATTTTCTGCATACACTCAGGCTGCACGAAACGGAGTGCGCATCTGCACATAGGTATTATTTTCACGTTTTTGCACAGGGTTGAAAAATATGCTTTAATCCATACAAAAAAGAAAATAAAGAGCGTGACTCAAAAATAGCCAATAAAAAAGGCTTCAAAGTTCCAAAGTTTAAAAATTAATAAGACCTCAAAAAGGTTTAAATTAATGAATGTGTTGCTCGAAATGCCCTCCCCTAATTTCCATGCAATAATGCAATCTCGATTTAAACCCAGATCAAGACCTTTGACCGGCATTCAACGATAATTCTTTGTAGTCTTACACGTTTGCGTTGGAACCCCTTGTTTAATATACCTAATACCTATGTATACGTAATAGTTAATTAATACGTCGAGTGTTGTGGCTCGTTATGATAAAATGCAATTTAAATTGAGTAATTTTTATTGAAATTTATTCATATTCGTTTGCAAAAAGTAAAACAAAAACACCAATAAACCATAATAATATATTAAAACCTCGAACACGTTTCGAGAGCAAGGGTGTCATCATCAGCAAACAACTTAACAATAATTATATATTAAAATAATAATAAAAAAAATAAAATATAAATAATATAAATAAAATAAATAAAAAAAATAATAATAAAATAAAATATTCTTTAGGATTGCCTAAAGTACTTGTATACTACCATCTGAACTTGTAGCAGTTTGTAAATTTGTATAAACCTCTAGTTACTCGTATTTTAAGGATAATTGGGTAAGTTAACATACTTCTTATCTAATTTACTAATACAATCTTTTAACGCGTTGTTACATTTTTAATCTACTTTCTTAATCTATGTTTCCTAATGAAGTTCATAATTAATTCTTCGGAAAAACTATTGTAAACAGCAATTTATGTGATGGTGCGCAATTCTTTAATGCAATTTACACGTGAAAGTGGAAAATTAATTAAACTATGAACCAAAAAGATAAATGAACCATGTTTATGCTGTATACACCTGAACCTCGCGTTTTCTTACGTTTTATAAACACTTTTCGAAGCGTGGTTAGCCGACCCGAGGTTAAGATTTGTTTCCTACGGGTGGCAGTACTGCCTCCGAACCAAGATATTTCGAAAATTATCAGAGATAGGTATAGATAGGACATTATTATCAAAAGTTGAAGGTTTTTGGTGGAGCTAAAAGATGACAGAAAAATATACAGTGTGTTCCATTTAATAAAAGTAAGATTTTTTAATATGAAGTTTTGCAACTTTGGACCTACCAAAAAACACCCTGTAAGCTATGTTTAGCGCTTTTTTGAAAAAAATAAGCTATTATATTCGTTATGGCTGGATGGCCGGCTGTCCGGGTGAGAACTCAGAAACTACAATAGCTAGACTTCAAATTTTCACTGAAAGCTTTTTGCTATAGTGTAGATGTGCAGGCTCTAGTCGATTTTGAGTTAGATTACTTGTGAGATCGATAATTTAAGAAAATAATTTCGATATGGTTTTCGGAGGTGCTATAATTTTACCGTTAGATAGCGCTACCAGTATAAAAACTTAATTATTTACTTTGTGATTTGTTTTACAAAATAAAGACGTACCCTCAATTGAAATTAAATAAAATTAATTATTTAACGCAGCCAAAATTACTGGTGAGATCGACTTCGCTAATAAAATACTGACATGTATTACCAAAAATGCGCTTTAATCATGCATATGCTGATTTAGAAACTTGTTTTAATGTTTCATAGTAGATGTATTTATTTGACTTTTACTTAACCCAGGATAAAAGATATAAAACCTGGAATCAAAATTTAAGTATTAATTTTTAGACAATATACTGACGCTCGCAAATGCCCAATTTTTCATAATCGAATTATCTTTAAAGTACTAGTTTTTCGGATATTAACCATATAATAAAAAAAGACGTACAATTACACGTAGAATTCAAAAATGCATTCAAATACAGGGGGTTCTATTTAAAAAAATGTACCATTTTGTCACCCTACTTTGTGGGCGCACCCTGTATAATTCCAAATATTTTTAATATATTCAACCATATCATGATACAAAAGCACTCTATCGAAAAATCTTCTCTTCAAGGCATTAAGTTACTCCGCGCAATCGTTGACTCACCCTGTACATAATTAATTTTAGGTATAGGACAATGCCATATCAATCGAATGATAATTTTGTCTAGAATTAATATCTGGAATAAAAAAAGGGACATTCCATTTGAAAACAAAACGAGTTTTTTTAAAACTGTAGATTATTGCGAACAATTGTGTTGGAAGATCAAAAGATACTCAAAAATAAAAAATGCAGGTCCGTATTAAAAAAAAATAAAATTGATATTCGTGTCTAAAAACCGAAACATGGCATCGGAAAAGTAAAATCATCCGTACGTATCAAGAGGAATGAGTGGGATTTATGGCTAATATAAAGGTGCAGTCAAGCGTTACTGAATTAAGAAACGGAAAAAAAGGTTATACTGGAGGTGGTAATTACCAACTTCCGTATTTTAAATGGTAACCAGGGGCGGACTGGGTACTTAGGGGCCAGGTGGAATTGCATAGGTTTCGGGCCATTAAAGTATTACTGTAATGAGGACGGCGGGAGGAGGGGGGGCAGTTTTTTTAAATTGCAGCTGATAATTAAAAGTAACAAAATATACATAATCCAAACGAGGCGCGTCGCCTATATTTGTGTTTCAGCACTTTCAAAATACGACAAAAAATGATAAATTCATTGTAAAACACTTACATAAAAGAGTTTTTTAATGAACAACCTACCATCAACCCCAATGAGAGAAACTTGTTAATAATTTATTAATAGTGCAAGAAACTAAATACAGCACATACTTATAAGTTTCCAACGGGCCATTATGACCTACAGACCAGGTGGCAATCGCCACCCGCCCCCCCGGGCCAGTCCACCCCTGATGGTAACCCCCATTTTTTTATTCCACATTGAGATTCGTTTTTGAAAATTAAGGTCAGTTCACTAGACAATATCTATGGCCATCTTAGACAGTTTTGGAAATATTTGCAAATTAAGAAAAAAATTGACAGTTAAGTTTCGACGGTTTGTATCTCGGTGACTATTAGACGTGAAACAATAAAATTTTGGGGGCTCATAATTTTTCGTAATAATCTACAGAACAGACTCTTCACAATTATAAAATAATTTTGTTTCATCTAGCCGCATCCATTAATGATGCTGAAAACACATTTCGATCTAGCGTGGTCGTCAATTTATGGGGTTTTGAAAAAAACGTTAAGCGCAAAGCCCATTTTTTGAGATGTGTGTTAGCTTCAATGTCCTCTGTACGTTTTCTGCTATGTCATTTTGACGAAAATTTAAGCGGGGTCGATAACTCGAAATTTTGAACATAGCTGTGGACGATGCGCTTGTCAAGGTGCCTCTTCAATAGCGGGTGAAAGTATGGTACCAACAAGATGGCGCTCCGGCTCATATTATATTTATGATATTTGTTTAATGATAACGGGCCTCTTAGATCTTCGGATTTGACGCCTTTGTCTGTTTGTGAGTGCATATTAAACAAATACGGGTAACGCTAGTTGTAATTCCTATGGCATTTATGTGGTTCAGGACAATCATGGTTTGTATTAAAAATCACTTTATTATGAAAAATGTACAGAGTGAGTCAACGATTGCGCGGAGTAACTTAATGCCTTGAAGATAAGATTTTTCGATAGAGTGCTTTTGTAGCATGATATGGTTGAATATTCTGCACATTTTAAAAATATTTGGAATTATACAGAGTGCGCCCACAAAGTAGGGTGTCAAAATGGTACATTTTTTAAATAGAACCCCCTGTATTTGAATGCATTTTTGAATTCTACGTGTAATTGTACGTCTTTTTTATTATATGGTTAATATCCGAAAAACTAATAGTTTTAAAGATAATTCGATTTGTAGGAAAATTTGGGCATTTGCAAGTCAGTATATTGTCAAAATAATTACTTAAATTTTGATTCCAGGTTTTATATCTTTTATTCTGGGTGAAGTAAAAGTCAAATAAATACATACAGATTTTCTTTGAAAACTCTAACTAAAAAGGTCATCGCTTTGGGAGATCAAAGGCTACTCGCAGATTTAAAAAAAAATTCCGGTCCGTATTTAAAAAAATAAAATTGATATTTGTATGTTGTATCTAAAAACCAAAACGTCGCATCGGAAAAGTAAACTAAATCACTTTCTTACAGAGCATAAAAAAGTGCCTTATGAAAGTACTTTTGGAATTTCCAAATGATCAATAAAAAAACTCCACAAAGATAAAAAGGAAAATCTTTCGGGTATCCCCTAAGTAAGAAGAATGTTTTTAATTTCTTTTAACAAATTATTCAGCATTAAATTGAGCAACTATCCTCGTAGTTACCAAGATATAGCAAAGCTAATGCATCGCCACACAATATTAGTATACGGGGTGTTTCTTTAAACACGGTCGTTGTTTTTGTATGAATACACAACTGCGTACACGGAGAACTCTAGGAACACTTTCTTTTTAGACAAAACCACACAAGAAAACATTTTGCAATTTTGCTGAAAATATTTAGAGTATGAGCAAATGAAAGTACTATTCTTAGTTTAGCATATCTTTATATATTTTTAGAAAAACAAGTCCATTCAGACTGCAAAATGAAGTTTCCCACTTATGAATCTGCTTCTCTGAACTCTGAGAATCGTCGGATAGTTGCGAATATGTACCGTTTCAATGATTCTGATTCTTTTTGAAACACTTTTGACACGTCTGATTTTGGTACCTATCAGCGCTTGCAGAATGACCCTTTAATTTAAGTGTATGGCAGACGTGAGAAAAATAGTTAACTTTGCATAGAGTTAGGAATAGTCACTAAATTGCAAACCGACTCGTGCAAAAATAAAAAATTTTCGTGCGATTAATTAAGGACTTTACTCACGTACCATTGTGTAGATGGTGATTCTCAGATGGCGATGCACAAGACTGATGAAGAGACGGTAGAAGTGCAGTAACCTGCTCTATTGAGGTTGTAGTTAAATTCATTCTCAACGCGAACAGGCGCTTTGTGTACAGGGCAATTCGCGACTCTATAATTTTTTTTTATTTTTCGCTTGTAATTAGACGCACTCACTTTTCATTGTAATAAAATCTCATTTACTTATTAAGGGTGTAGTACGAAAACGAACAATCGGCACTTGCTATAAAATTTATATCCGTAAGTCTAATAATTTGCTTAGGTGCAGGTGGTTGAATTGTAAAATGAAGGATTTTAAGCAAAGACCAGAGTAGAATGAGTATTACCACTATGTCATCCATGGGCGGGATCAGATTTTGCTACCCCGTGTTTAACTTCTGTCGCAGCACGCGACTGCGCTCGGCACCCCCTTGTTTTTACATTCTCTTACAAAGACTACAAATCGCGCTAGAATGTTCCTTTCGCATATTATCTCACTCAAAACGGGGCAAAGTTAATCGCGACGATTAAAATTCATAATTACTCCCAGCGACTCGAATTGTTTTTCTCGAGACAAATTAAAAGCGGTTACGACGAAAGGGTGAACGCGTCACAAGGGTCGCAGTAATGAGATATTACCGCTAGAAAACGCGAGGAAATTAAAATCGAAATGTCCTTTGTGTGGGATGAAAGAGTCACATTCTAAATAGGGATGTTGATCTGTGAGTCGTGGTGGTTGGCAGAGCGGCATTGCCATTGGCAGACTCCCACTAATCCCATTGGTCTGACATGCTCTTTACCCACATTGGAGCCCTTCCACTACGGTTTCGTGACCTCTGCCCTGTTCCCGGTTCCGATGTCAGCTTTTAGGGGGCATCGATGTTGGACCCAGGCGAGACGCCACAAAGACGAAAGGATTACGAGCTTTTTGTCCCAGTAATATATTTAATACTCAATGCGGTAATAAAATTAATTGCTCAAAATTCTTTAATTTTACTCGATCTGAAAATTGATTGTGTGCAAGGGTGAAACGCGTACACTTCGTACATTCAGATGCCAGATGCGATCAAGTGAGATAATTGCAAAATTTAAAATACTATCACATGTTCCTCCCTTCTCACTATTAGTTACCTACTGAATAATGAATATTCATTATCACTCAATTTATAGTTCATAATTTCACGATTATGTTTCTATGCGTTTTACTGTAGGTAGATGCATCAGTGGCTATATAAACGTGACAAATGTTTGTTAAATTCTGCAATTTTTTACTTTTTATGTCTTGTAAAAAACTACGCCAATTAATTTGCCATAGCAAAATGTCGTACCAACAAAGGGATAGTTTTTATAAGGGCGGTAGTGCTAACTTTTATGAAATAAAGAAACTATCAAGCGAGCGATCATTTTTTGGGACTCTACAAATTTACAGCAAATTAGCGACAAAAGATTTTGCTATGTTGAACTGTTAATTTTAATTTGACGGATAATTATAGGAAAGAACGGTAGTATAATATACACGGTGTCCATTTTTCGAGTGCCACTATGGGGATCTTGCTTATCTTAAGAGATAGACTTTGGTTAAATGAGGGCAAAGTTGCGAATTTCCGTGTTGAATAATAATCTGAAAAGAAATTTAAAATATCTTCAATAGTTTTGAAAATATCGAAAAAAAAAGAAAATTTTTGATTTTCGTTTTAAATTTTTTCATAATAAACTAATACTTCTAGACATTTCTAATTAACACGTTATTCAGACACTTTTTAATGGAGATTTCGAATATGGCATCCCGTTTTCAATAACTTTTAAGATGGCGGAGAAACACGTGGCAACTTTAATTTTTCTTATGGGCGCCGTTTTGGATTTTGACATTTTGAGATTAGATACGTCTTTTTTTCTCTTTACAACGATATATCACACATGGTGGTTCAGTAACACATTTTTTCCTAAAATTACAATTTTCATTTTCTGCGAAGAGTGCTTTGGAAAAACAAAACGTTCTTTTGTTGTGAACAAAAGGTTGACTTATTTCAAGTAGTGACATTTACGTTTGTGCTAGATTTATTGCGAAAATATTATTTATTTTTAAGTATTTTGTTCTCATTTGAATTATAATTTTCTTGCAAAACGAAAGTTCAATTCTATTCAGATGAAAATCTCAACAAAACTAGTTCCCTGCCAACGCTTCAACCAGACAGATTGATCAAACTGTCAAACGTTTTGTTTTTCCAAAGCACTCTCTTCCCAAAAAATTAAAAAGTGTCTGAATAATGTTTTTTTGCGAGATTTTCAAAACTACTAAAGATATTTTTAATTTCTTTTCAGATTATTATTCAGCACGAAAATTCTCAACTTTGCCCCCATTTAACCAACTCTCTTCAGGTAAGCGAGATCCCCATAGTGGCACTCGAAAAATGGACACCGTGTATAGTATTGCGTGTTTAATTTAAATCTCTTATAAATTTTATTAACATGCAGTCAGTCGATGGATCCTAGCCCCTAGCTAGGCTATGATAGTTTTAGGGTCCCTGCCTTGAATTTGGGCGAAACTTCTCATAATTTCCTTCCTTTAAAGTTCAAAATATAACATTTACGATCCCTTCTTAAGATCCTCTTTACTTTCTACTTAAGTAGGTACTCCAGATTCATATCCTTAAGCTATAAAAGCCTTCTAGAGTTCCGTCAAGTCTTCCTCAAAGTTCCTTAAAAGTTTTCTCAGTTCTCTTCACGCTCTCCTCAAGCTTATCTAATTCTCTTCTTAAGTGTCTTTCTTGTTACGAAATTTTTTCATGTAATTCTCAAGGTATGTTCCCTCCATAAGTTCATCGTAATTTCTCCTTGCCTTGCAAGTTCTCAAATTCACTGTTTGCTCCCTTTGCGTTGCTCAATTTTTTCTTCTTAAGCATCGTTTCAATTTCGATGAAGTCCCCTTCCCAAGTTGCTTCCAGGCTGCTCTTTAACACTTACCCCTCGTCCCTTTTCGATCAGTTTCACCCCACTTTAATAGGTTTGAAAGAGTAGGCTGAGTCGCTCTTTTACCGTGAGGATAGATAAAGGGATCACTTTAACCCTAAGGATAGAGAAAGTGAAACATGACTGTGCATTC